GTAACATATGTAGCAACACAAGTTCCGTATACACTTGTTCTTCAGTGTCCATATAAACGCCACACTGATAACACACTGTACTTCTAATATTGCACAACAGTGGCTGTAGCACACAGAACATCACAGAGGAACAGAGTTTTATTCTGCAGTTATAAAAAGCAACTGACAAAAAGTAAATGCAAAAAGAGCTAAAGACAGTATAGAATTCACTTGATATTAAAAATATTTTTTAATGGCTTTTTCACTTTGTTTTATAAATTTAGAGCTAAATGAATAAGCTTCTCTCCTGTTTTCACAGTCACTATAGTCATGAGGCCATAGAGAAAATCTAAGTATGCAGACTGGATTTTTAAAGGGACATTGTGTCTCATAACCTTTGTAATAAATGTTTGAATGTTAGCAGTGTGGAAATAGACATAGGAAATGGTTTCCCATGCATTATTATTCAATCCAAGAATTCAAATTCCATATGTTTGTTTGATTTCTAACCTGAAGAAATCATGTTTTTCACAAAAAATTAAGAGTGAGGATTTAACAATATCATTTATATTTATTGTAGCTTAGAGTGACACTTCAGATTTTCATCTCTTAGTTCTGGAAAAACTACACATGCCTGTTCATTAAGACTATCATTCAAATGATATAGCACCATGTCTGCACTAAATGAAAATGCTTATTTACCTGATTACCCATCAGAGTCATATATCAACATTAAGTTCCTCATTTGTGGGAAACCAACTTACATAATAAATTTCTCATTTCATATCAAAGATAAAGCTTTGGAGCTTCTAGAAATTTTATTTTAATTGGTAAAAGCAATTCTACTGGAGTTCTTTGTGTAACTGGCTCAATATTTTCCAGATTAAATGCTATCTGAACCTGTTTATTTAAAACAAGGTTACTAAAATCATCAAATTTTCAAAAGCCTTAACTGTAACAAAACTTCAATTGTCAAATTAAACAATTAAATCTCATGATTAAGCCATATAAGTGAAATCTGATGTTCTGGAGAATTTGTCTAAGAGGTAATTTAAATAATCCCAGTTCTTGTTATGAAATTTCTGTCATTAAATGCTTCAATGCATAGCTAGCTATCAGAAGACTAGTTTTCCAATATCTTTCTCCACCATTTTGAAAAAAGGTACAACACAAAAATATCATTAACGAGAGGATGAACTAAAGAGAACGTGTATTGGAAAACCTGTTTAAGCTTATCTTTGGGGAAGTACATGGGGAAAAAAAAAAAAAAAAAAAAAAGAAAAAAAAAGGAAAATCCCCAAACCAAAGAACAAAGAAGCTTTCTTTTGTAGCAGAGGGGTTCTTCTTATTGAGGTTTCAGTATAACAAAGAGAGGGAAAGACCACAGGAGAGAAAAGGATTTGGGAAACAAGCTTTATGAGGAAAGAGGAGCTTGGCCCAGCCTTACAGAACAATAAAGAGAGGCAGGGCCTCTGTCTGGTCCCAAACCCATAGCTACACTAATTCTGTCACAGCTACACTGAGGAAATATAAGCAGAAACAACCTGCAAGGGGTTCTCTGTTCTTTAGTTGTATCTCTCAAATGGAGTGTCAGAGAATACTCCAAAGCTCTGAAACTCACTCGTCCACAGTTACAAACTGCCAAGATGGTTCCTGAGATGGGACCTGTGCCAAACTGGAGGCTCCCCCAGAACCAGACGTTCCATGACAAGTAGCCAGTTTGGATGGAGCAACCTTATTCTTTTTACTGTGAGTTGTGCTGGCTGCAGAGCCTGAGAACAATACCAGAAATTATTATTTTACTGGTAGATATAGTCATTGCTTCCACAGATCACTGGTCCCTCCTCAGGCTCTGTGTTCTGATGAGGAAGCATGTTTGGGTACCATGTGATGGCAATGGTATGGGAGATGTCCAGTAGCAAGTTCCTCTCACAAGTAAAACTTTCCTCTGTTTCATTTTGAATCTAATAATAATAATAGTAATTACAAGGTAAATCAGAAAGAGATGTTTTCACTGATTGCTTCTTTTGTCCTCTGCAGGGGTGACCTTGCAAAGTTTTCAGTGAAAGAGAAGATCCAAAGATCTATTTTTATACTGACATTGATGGATGCTGCTGAAAAGCCAAGGTAACATACAGTCAATGAATGACCAGTCTATGATAATAACAGATTGGAGATTGTCTTTTAATATCCCACCTTTCTCTGGTTCATTCTGTATAACTATATATTTTTGTCCAGACTGTCAACATCCATGTGTTTTTCACCACTTCCATGTAATTTCCAATAGAGAAATAAATAGATTCCAGTAGCGTCAAAACTGTAGTGTCTATTGAAATATGCAAGCTGCTTAACCTTCAACCGGCATACCAAGGTCCCTGTGTCCAGCCTCAAGAATGATGTGTTGTTGATACATTACTGGAATGCATCCCACCACATCCCAACATTACAGTAAGCTCCATTTATGGCCCTATGTCCTAAAGCTGGACGATAATTGTGCCATTTTCCATTGTCCAACTGCTGGTCCCCTGCTCCTTCCCTCCCACCACCACCTTTTCAAATACTGTCCAAAGTCACAGATTCTACAGGCACTATATACCTGGTGGCTCACTGTAAGTGTTCTCATTTCTTTTTGTCTGTATTTAGAAGAGTTGTCCTGTAACCTCTGTTTTTTGCCTCAGACACAAAAATGCACATAAGTTTCCTCAGACCATTTAATAATGTTCAGATGGTAAATGAAAAGCTTCATAAATGCTTTCAAGGCCTGGACTTCTGTTGCAGCACCTTTTCACTTTCTTTGAAAGGTAATTCCTACCATCCCAGGGGCATGACTGAAAAATAATGGCACAGTTCTCTGGCAGGAAGGATGTCTTACTGTGTAGCCCTTTGAAATCGAAGGTAGTGGACACAGGTACTGCCGGAGACTGGAGCCACATAAACCCTGGGAGGTAGAGTAAATGGCAGGGATAAGAAATTGGTCAGAATGACACATTGGAAAGGAGATTTATTATTACCCACAATTTTCCCTGTGTTTTATGTTCTAACCTCCTCATTTTTGCTACCTGGACAGATTGAAAACTTTACCTATTACATCTGCAGTGTGAACTTCTTTTCTCATGATATACAACTTCCACATCCCATTCCACATTTCATCAAAAGGCACCAGGAAGACCTACAAGATCTTTTACCAACAGAAGTACAAATAGTGAAGATAAGCACTGTAGCTATAGAAGCTTTGACCTGTAGTGCTCTTGCAACTCAGTTTTGTCATCACAGATGATGAGTTAACAGAGCTACGGGTACCAAATTCTGTAACACAGAGGAAGCTTGAGCTGAATTAAATTCAATTCCCATAATACAAATTAGCTGGAAAATAATGACAGAGATCATGTCTTAAATGCTTACTCTGAATCACACCCTAAAATTGACAAAACTCAATTTTAAGGGCACAAATATTTTCTACCTTTGTGAATACAATGCAATGCTCTTAAGTTAATGTTGGTTCTTCACAGCACATAGCCTGTTATCCAGATGACTAAATCACAAATGCATGCTCAAAACTCCAATTTAGATTTGGCTTGGCTGTCTCTGTACACACTGTATCTGTCATGTTTAGCTACTGCTGATATTTTGCTATCAATATAAATGAATCATCCTCTGAATCACATCAGATTTTCTCTCAGAGCTCTTTTAAGAGCCATTATAATATTGTTATTCTGAATGTCAGCTCTCAATGAACTGAAAGGTCTGAAGTCAGTGGTAAGATTCATCGGCAGCTGGAACAGGCTCCAAATGTCACATGACAAATCATCTTTCCAGTGTCTCTCTGTCTCTCTTTTTTTTTTTTTTTTTTTTTTCTTTTAACTGTTTTCTCCTCCGTGTCTTCAGCTCTTTGCTTGTCCTATCCTGTATGCCAGATTCATAAAATTTCAGGAGGGGCAGTTCCTCAAGTTATTGAATCTGTAATATATAATTGATGTCCAGACTAGCACAGATATTGACTATAAATCTGAAAGGTGAAGATAGCTTCCCACTCCACTGGAGCAGGTGTCTGTGTTCTCTGAAAACATTTCTCTCCTCACTACAAATGTTAAATTGTCTTTCAAAATTAAGATTTTTTTCCTGCTTCTAAATGAAACCTTAAAATAGAAAATCTTACCAGTTGAAAGAAAAACTAATGCCCTGGTAGTGCATCATTGTCACCTGAATTTCAGCCCATGTTTTTGTAACAGCTCTGATTCTTAACTGTGTCTTCAATCAGCAGTTTTCATTTCTTACCATGATTAATTTTTTATTTTTTTCTGGAAGACTATGTTTGTTCAATGCTGTTTATGGGAAAGACATTCAGCACAGAAGAGCTGAATGAAATACTTGACTGAGTATATTATTATAAAAATATGCATTTTTCCAATATCTGTATATTTCAAAGAAAAGTGCTAATCTCAAATAAAATTTGTATGCTGAACAAAAAAAAAAAAAATCAATATTCTGACGATTTTTATTATTGTTGTTGTTGTTGTTGTTGTTGCTGTTATTTTAGTTTAGCAAGAAGTTATGGCTCTTTAATTTACCAGGCTGGAACAATAATATTTTTAAAACACCAGAATTGCCTTTTGAATAAAATACTTATTTTCAACTAGTTTCACTTAAGAATACATTGGTGAAACAAATCTTCTAGGGAAGTACCTTTTGTTTTATGCAGTATGTACAAGAAATTCTGCCTAGGGCAACAATCCATGGCATAAATACAAGGAGGTCCAGAAATGCATGATTGCAGCCAAGGAAAGTTAATGTCTCCAGAAGGGTGATGCCCACACAGATCAGGTTCAAAGGCTTGCCAGGCCCACAGAGCACTGTGAGTGGCGACCTGCAGCTCTCAGAGTTGCTGTTCCTTGTGTGAGAACAGAGCATCCACAGGACAGAAGACCCAGCAGGCTGGCACACATCTGGATCTAGGTCAGTCCCTCCTACTGTGATATATTTACTACCTCTGCCACTCTTTATCAAGTATCTTTTCAAATGACCAGATACTCAAACCTCAGCAAGGAACAAACAGAATCAGCTCACCAGCTGGTAGTGCTCTTTATTCCATCTGTAAACCTCTCAGTTCTAAATTTTGGTTTCTGCAAGCTTTACACAGCACATGGTAAGAGGTTTCACTGTGCCTTCCATCACTCTGAATTAACAGTGATAATAATAATACTTAACCTTCGTAGAGTTCTTTTTATCTTCACAATGCTTAACTAACATTAGCTAATCATATTACAATAGCTGGGCTGCTTATCATTCCTACTCTTGACAGTGCCATGAATAATCTGATAATTATTTCTTTAGCTCATATAAACAGCTTGTCCACTCTCATGTCATTTTCTATTTTGCTTAAGCTATAAATATCTGATATTAACTGAAGAAATGGTGAAGTTTGCCAAGCTCATCTTAAACTAAAGCATAAAATTGCATTAATAAGGTATGTCTGAGACTGAATATAAGCAAATTCTGTGCATGTTCTTTTGCTGTATTTTTTATATCTATATCTCTAATTATGGGAATTTGCTAAGGATTGTATTGTGTGAGAGTTAGAATGACTGAACTAGTTTGCCTAGAATCTGTTCATGCAGATTTTTTAAAACCACTCTGTATTTATTTCAAACATTGAGTATTGGTGTACTATTTGATACCAGGCTGTGGTAGTGTATACACAGTAGTAGGCAGAGACCATGGTTTAATCAGTTTACAGCTTAGTGTTCAGATTCTGTTTTATTGTTGAGAAGCACAAAACTCTGTGTCTTTCCAACACACTAGTCAGAAAACTAGCCTTAGGTAATCAGCAGTAGGATCAGGAATAGGAATTGCGAACTTCCTGTGTTTTATCCAGTGTCAACTCTTCTTGTAGAATGACCATTTTGTAGGGAAGAAAACACTTCATTTCAATATTCAGAGGTGAAATAGATTTCTTTGGAAAATAACTCTCTCAGTGCCCCAGTTTTATCCTTTTTCAGTGGAATAGCACCATTGCATTATCCCATGAGATGTATTGTGGTTTGGATCATGGTTGTTTGCCAGAGGCATTGAGATACTCAGCTGTAGATAATGCAAAATATTTGCACTGATGGTGCATTTACTTTGGGTCCCTGGCCTCTGATTATTGTTTAACATCAGATTGCTTTGAGCTTTCATCCTTGGGTCTTTATGCTTTACACTCCTTGCATTGTCAGTCCCCTGCTTGATCCAAGGTAGACACAAATGATACTACTACATCCTTACTAGCATCTGTAACTGAATCAGTTATCCCTGCCCCGTCTCTAAGAGACAAGAAGATCCCATTATTATTACTTTATTAATACAGTTTTGCATGCATGGTGCTTTATAAGGAAAAGATGAGTCACTGTTCCAAGAGATCTCACTCTATAAATTAGATGTGGCACATGGAATGACGACAGTGAAATGATGGGGGAAGGAATACATTTTAATATATGAATTTATTGAATGATTTTATGAAAAGAAAAAAAAAAACTCATTATGAAAAAAATCTATGCAGCTCTCCTGTCTAAGATATACAACTCAAAACCAAAAGCTAAAGAACTATGTTCAAAATGGGGCTAGACCCATTCCTTCTGCATACTCAGCTCTGCTGTAAGTTTGGAGAGGACAGCACTTGTTCCAAAGAAGGTACGGCAGCACTTCAGTAACAACTTTATTCTTAGTCACCAAAAGAGATATTAAAATTAATAGTGACTCATCTCAGCAGGCATTCAACTGCAGCCTTAATTCCAGTCCTAGTGGAAGGTTAGCAGTCATAATGCTTTAATGTAAGAAGCACACGTTTTTACAAAATTACAAATACTCCAAAAGCACAAGTGAGCATTTCTTCTGTTTCAGTCTGTGAAAGACCAGCTTCCGTTGTCTCTGCAGCAGGGCACTTGAATCTGACAGAAAACCTACTCTGGCACTAAAGATGTGCCCTGAATATGCTCCTTTCAGCCACCCAAGTACCTCTGCACCATCTAGTGGTACAAACTGCTACCAATAGGAATCAGGGCAAGAGAAGAGAATTTTTACTTCAGGCAGAAAACATAACAATTATTGAAGAGGAAAAAATAGCAGTTTTGGCTGTCCTACCCATACACTATAAGCATCTTGTACACCTGTATACATGGACTACATAAAGTGCTTATCATCCTAGGTGTTCCTTATGCATGTTAAAGTCAGATTCACTTAAGTCCTTCAAGCTAAATTAGTACAAAGCAAAATATTTAAATGCTTGTCACCTGAACAGTCACACAGCTCACCAAAGGGAATGTTTCATTGAAAAGAAGTAACACTGTCACTGTGAAGCTCAAGAGAAAGCCACAATCCAGGAATACTTGGAGGCTGGGCATGCCATAATCATGCATGACTGCACAGTTAATTAAAGGAATTTCCCTCCCTGGAGATCTTTACAAACTGTCTGGACATGGTCTTGGGTGACAGAGATGTTCCTGCTTGAGCAATGATTGTTAGACCAGATGACCTCCAGAGGTCCCTTCCAACCTCAGCCATTCTGTGGTTCTATGAACAAAGAGAGGGGATTTTGGATACAAGCAGGGGAAGAGAAGGTGAAATTGAGGAACCATCAACACTCTTGGGCAGCATTTATCTTGGTTTGCTGTGGTAGACAGCTTTCTTACAAGTCCAGCAATTTGGTATAGATGCATCAAACAGCTACTAGTGCAGAGAAGGCAGGCTTTGTGGAATGCAGAAGCTCCTGAGAGGCATAGCACAGGGCAGCTCCCAGCAGCACATCACGAGGCTGCCTGCTCTATTTCCTCTGGCAGACCTGGAAGAAATTCAGCCTGGAATGAGCATGGCTAAACTGTAAATAAGTGCAGTGTGTTTGTCTCTGTCTGGAAGGTTTTGCATGTATGAGAGTCCCGCATGAAGCATGATGTTTCTTCAGGACCACCCTGTCTTGTTTTGCATGGTGTTCACAGAAACCTGAGTGTGATGCTAGTAAATAGAGACAAGACTGTGTCTGTGTCAGGAAAGCTGGCTGCTGGCAGCCTGGAGAAGCTCCCACTAGCTGGCCATCTGCTTATTTTGTGTTCTTACATTGCCACCCTCTGACAATCTGGTGGATTTAAACACTGCCACTCAATGGACAGCTGAAGTTTGAGAAAGGCATGTACATAAAGTACAAGCCTGAATACAACACTGTAGAAATGCATTGCTACTGCCATTGTTTCATGTGAATTGAGTATCTTTCAGGTATATCCCTTGTATATTTCTCATCTGCTGCTGTGAAAATTTGTTTAAAAGCTGATTTGGTGATGTGTAGCAGAGACTGAGAATGTGTAACAGGAAGAGATGGGGATGTCTAGCAGGGAGAGATGGGGATGTGTAGCAGAGAGAAAATTTGACTCAGTGCAAAAAACAGATTAGTCTCCATGAGTGTTCTCCAAGCCCTCAGAAGAATTAGATACAAGAAATGTTACTCTGTGTATTGTTAAAGAAACTACACCATTACTGTTTAGGGAGGCACTCTTTGTCAGGGTGTGTAGTGATAGGACAACAAGTAATAGTTTAAAACTTAAAAAGATGGATTTAGATTAGATATAATGAGGGAATTCTTTACTCAGAGGCTAGTGAAAGACTGGCACAGGCTGTCCAGAGAAGCTGTGAAATCCCCATCCCTGGAAGTGTTTAAGGCCAGGTTGGATGGGGCTTTAGGTCTAGTGGAGGGTGTCCCTGCCCATGGCAGAGGAGTTGGAACTAGGTGATTTTTAAGACCCCTTCCAACCCAGACCATTCTATAATTCTATGAATGAAAGCAGGGAGTATTTATTGAAAGTTTGTGGAAGCAGGAATATGAAAACTTTAAGACCAAAACACACAAGTACACTGTACACAGAAACTGTGAATATTAATCCTAGCACAAAAACAGAAGCTACCGCTGTATCATGTTGAAATCTGCTCTTTCCCAAATATTGAAGGATATATTCTCTATTCTTGGCCTACCTTTCTTCCTGACCTACCTTTCCACCAAGAGCTTAGCTATGAAAGTCAAATAACATTTGTAGCTCTTTGAATGTCAAATGTACAACAGATAAAGGGAAGAAAGTGCAGTATACTGGGTAAACACTTGTATCTTTTCATATAAAATGTTCAAAGTAATTTTATATAATAAATACCTTCACCCAGAATTGCCTACATCTGAGAGAGTAGTGCATTAAGAATAACTGGAAAACAAAAAGCTATGCATATATTTTTTTGCAATGGGAGGGATGTTGTATCCATTTCAGAAATCATTTCAACTCCCTTTCAGTATTTGTGGCTTTGTTAATTTCAGCTGTGTGTGGCATTTTATGTATTTATTTTTTTAACAGCATCTTATCAGTAAAAAAGAGATGTCAACAATAGTGAGCATAGTGAAGGCTTACCAAGACAGTTAAGGGGACAGGGACAGAGTCATATACAAGGAGATCCTGAAGAAACTAATTATTTAGCATAGATAATAGAAGACTAGTTCAGTTTTCTAACTTCAGTTATCTGAAAGGCTAAAGACTTTTCATATGTTCATATGTTTTCATATGCTCCTATGTTTATATTTTCATAGCCAGACTTTTCATATGGGAGCATAATGAAAGAACAACAGGTAACAACCATGAACTGCAGCAAAGTGTTTTTGTTTTGATTTGTTTTTCTTCTTTTATTCCCTTTCTGTTGTTTTATTATATCAATGGAAAGAGCACCTGAAGCTTAAAAAAATAAAAAAAAATAAATAAAATAAAAAAATAAAGAGCATTTCTGGCCTGAGTTTAAATACAAATGAACAGAGACCCTTAAAAAAGACAAGCATACAATAAGATTATGAGGTTCAAATTCTACAATTGACACACTATGGTAGTAAAGAATAAATAAATGTGGCTGCTAAAAATAGTTTGATTTCCTCTGATTATAAGAACAGGTGCTTCTGTTTATTCACGGGAATAATGACTAGGCTTTTTACACCATGTTTATTGCCATAGTATTTAACTGGAGTTGAGAAGATTCCTAATTGCTGTTCTGTTTATTTACCCATCTAAGAGATTATAGTTATATCTTAAATTTTTTATACCTTAAACCATATTGTGATAAAAAGCAGATGTTAAGGACCCTGAAGTTAAAATC